TTGTGCAGAATTGGAGGTTGCATTCTGCACAAAAGTATCCTGAGCAACCCTAAACCCTAAACGGTATGGCATTCATAATGCGGCATGGACATTGTATATATAATTTTTACAAAGCAGTATACTTAACAGAATAACTTTTGTGCAGAATGGGAGGTGGCATGCTGCACAAAACTTGTGCGGTTTCGGGCTGGGTTGTTGGCAGGCCTTGGTGGCCAACATTTTGTGCAGTGCAGTGTGCCTTATCGTGTATGAATTTGCGGCACGGTCGAAGATCGATTCTATATTACACTGTCTGGCCAACTTTGAGGTTCACAGTCATTGGCTGTAACGGTTGGCTGGGACCTGGTTGGGTTCACGTGCCATGTCTGGTTCTACCAGAAAGCGCCGGACCAGTGGTGAAGGTGGCCCGGGTGCAAAGGTCACGAAGACCGCAGCCCTCACAGATTTGAAAGTTCCAGTTGATGCACTGCTCAAGAGTTACATCAAAGACTTTGACCAATGGTTGATGCCTGGCTGCAATTCCTGCCGCAGTTGTCGGTTTGAGCGCACGCCAACTGTGGGTTACTGCAAAGCATGCCATGCCCAGGACCAACGTCACGGCGGATCATAAATCCTTTGACAACTACATCGCACTGAAGCTGCAGACTGAGGCGCGCTGATTAACGGTCAGCGATCACGTGAAGCGCAGCTTGATTGTTTCTGTTAGGCCCAGCTCCACCGTTTCTGGAAGTGGGTTGAGGAGAACTTCCCTGGAGATCCGAGTGTGTAGAGGGCTTGGATTGAACACTTGTTTGTTTATTTTTCATCCATGAAATAAGAATCAACTCTGGAAGACGTTGCTGAGGCACTATGCGGAAGCCGGGTCGTTGGACGCAACCGGTGGGCTGATCCTCCGGCCATGGATGCTCAACTTTGCACCAGAGTTTGGCTTGAGAGGATACATTGAACCTGTCCAATCCTCAGCTCTGCAAAAGCTGCAGCAGTCAGGGCTCAGCTCGTGCATTCTATGTTGCAGGATGCGCTCTCCATGTTGTGCCAGCTGATCCTCCACAACACGTGCCCCAGCTGCTGTTGTCAAGAATATGGCAAATCAGGCAGTAGTTGATTGCCATCTCATCTCCAGCTACTATCGCGGGTCGCCGCTGTCACTCAGGTTTTGCACAGATCCCAACAAACCCGGCACTGAGAAGATCGCTGTCAGTGCTGTCAAGCCAGAGATGCTGAGCACGCCTCCCATCCCGCTTGATGCGTCTGCAATTCACACTTGCCATGGTTTGCTGAGTCCCATGAGTACTTTCATGGTCAAGGGCTGGTCAAGATGTGTTGCAGCAGTCTCGTTGCTCTTGTACTCCTATGAGTCGCCGGAAGTCTTGAAGGCTTGGTGCTTTGCTATTACGAACTTTGCAAGTTCCCTGTTTTATATGTTGCATAAAGGCTCTTTAGGTCTAGTGTTGATGGTGCCAGGACTGGCCTGAGGAGCTGAGGCGGTTGCTCGGCGTTCAGATTGTGGTGGACTTGCTGTGTGTTATGTGGATTCATGTGCGTGTGCGCTTAGTGTGACTTGCCAAGTTCACTTGGGACAATTCACGCGACGTGCATTTGTGTTCCAGACGCAGCTGCGTTGGTGGCAACGAATCGCGGATCCTCGTCCCTTCAGATTCATTGTGCGCTAGTTCCACCAAGATAGCCAGTCCATTGCTTGCACCGAACCTTTGTCGTTAAGCTCATGCCGTCCAAGGCATAACCCTCCAGTCCGCGGCAATCAGACGCAAACCAAACGCGTTTAATCTGCTCCATCAATTGAAGATTGAACGTCGCTGTGGCAGCCTTGAGCCTGGAAAGAACCTGGAGGTGCGGCGCAATAAAAGTGTTTTGTACCAGTCCCTTCGCCCTTTCCAGTCATTCATTGGTAAGCCTTGTGAACTTGTCACAGACAGCGACAGGTTTGGGAATCGAGCAATAGCTTCATTGAAGCTTACAAGATTGGACAATTGGAAGCGAAGAGCGCTGTCAACTTGTTGAATTTCATCCCAGAGAAAGTGGTAAGCCGGTTGAGTTCTTTGGTGAGGAGCGGTGTTCTGTGATCGCGCGTGTGTTTTTTGTATGTTCGTGTCAACTTTAGTGGAAGCGATCCAGGATGTGGTCAATGCAAAAGTTTATGAGCCATGAGCCAATTGCAAACGGCGTTCTGAACATCGGTCATGTGACCAAATCGCCTGCCCTCGAAGTCTGGGAGCCCTTCCTCGCAAACACGGAGGAGGTGTTGATGTTGCTCCTGGATTGGTTGGAAGGCGACTACACGGCACTGACCCCAAAGATGCGTAAATCTTACAAGCAGAGCGACATTGACGCTTCGGTTGCAATTTTCCACTTGGATGGCCTGCGAAAAAAGACCCCGACAAGTCCGGCTTTCCCCTTCAAAGCCCTACATTTCAGGCAGGTCGAACCGGACTTGTGGGGGTCTTTTTTCGCAGGCCAATCCAAGGTTGAAAATTATAGCACGCTTCGGGTAACCTCAGTTGCTTTGTTGAGAACAATGTTTCTGCTGCCGCCCAGAAGTGTTTTTCTGTTGTGGCAAGGAGACATTGCAGCGCTTCTGCTGCATGTTCTTGGAATGTGTGCGGGTGTATAGAACAAGAGTTCCAACGGCTTTTGCAGAGACGGAGCTGCCCAAGATCATGAAGTCGTGGCTTGGCTTTCATGTTTAAGTCAGCGGTTGATGCTGCGCAAGGTGCCAGTCTGACTTTCATTGTTTCCACAGTTAGGTTTTTGCTCCGCCACCTGGACCCGGACCTGGAAGCGACTCTGGAGCGCACTGTGCCCCCAGTCGCCTTGGAGGCAGTCACGGCCTTCAAGATATCCTTGGCGAAACACGCGAAGCAGGCAGGACGAAGCAAGCGTTGGTTCTGTTTGGCAGGGATGTCGCGCAGCCCTCACGTTGACACACGTGAACCAGGTTTTGTTTGGAAATCTTCAGCGCAGGTCAGTGACGACAATGCCAAAGCTGCTGAAGTGTCCTTCTCTTAATTTTCTGAGCTATAAACGTTGGAAACCCCAACTAGCATTCTGTGCTTGCCCCGCAGTGGCGTCAAGGCTCCAAGAGCAACTTCAAGCGGCTACTTTCAGCAAAATGCAAGGTCAGATAGACCGGAATTTAAGTGTGCTGTCAGAATACTTTGATGAAAAGCAACAAGAGGCTGATCGACAGGCGTGTTTGTCACTTATTTTTAAAGTGTGCTTCCTTCATGTTGAGAACTTACACGCAAACGGTGAAACTGCGGGAGGGAAGTCTGGATGTCCGCTATCTTGCTGAGCGCTACCAGCGTGGCGTTTCCAAAGTGGACGGCTGGATGAAAACGCATCAACGCTACGAGCAAGTCACTGAGCTCAGCTTTGCTCTCCCAGACTTCTTGGGCACGATGCAGAATGAGGGCGGGGACAAGTTGCTTGTCGAATAGTAGGTAAATAGGGGCATAGTAGTCAATAAAGCTGCTGCCTGAAGCCGTACTTTCCAGGCTTGGCGTCATAATTCTTGATGTCACCCTCTGGCCAGCAGGACTCTTGATTTGATTTTAGTGGGTTTGCCTGCAGGGCTTTGAACCGAAGCTTGGACAACCGCTCCACCCATAGCCCCGCAGCCAAGACCCATCTGTCATTGATGATGCCATTCAATTGGCGCGGTCCATTTGTTCAGCGTCGGCGGATGTGGTGTGCTTCTGCCTCCTCCCAGTTTTGCACGGTTCGACGCATATGACAACTGTGGTAAAACACAGAAGACATCTGGAAGACCTGTTCATGGCGTGCTCTGGCTGCAAGTGGCGCTAAACTCTGTGGGGCCTGTGACCTGTGGCCAGTCTCCTTTTATATATTACTTTGCGCTCAGGGCATTTGATTCCAGCGAAATTACTCTTTCCTTCAACGACCCGCCCCACGGCGGGGACAAACGAAGGAGGAGCCAGACTTGTGCCGAGTCAGCATCCACTTGCCAATTGATGTGCCGTTTGGGCTTTTGTTGATGGTGGCCGTTGTAAGGTTGGGCAGGCACTGTGGGGATCCACAAGGTGTGGGCCTTTTCTCAATCCAAAGCAATGTTGGGCATGATTGGCCCTGTCACGAGGGCAAGGGTTTGCGAACTCAGTAACTTCGACGTCGATCGACCTTTGTCGCCGCCGCAGCGCGCGCCTTGGTTTGCTTCAGCGTGTACTTTCGACCTGGTGTTTGCTTTGCTTTGCCTTGCTCTCATTGCTGTGTTTGCCTCAGCTTCTGCAATTTCACGAAGGTGCAGCAGCGAGGCCTCCAAGCTTGCACCGAGATCATTGATGGGTTGCTCAACGGGGCAGCAGACCCGGCCAAGACCTACAAGGTATTTGTGTTGGACGCACTTCCCACAAGGCCATAGCCCCGCTGTCGTGAGCTGGTTGTTGTTGCCACCCTGAACCCAAGCTCTAAGTTTGAAATTTAGCAAAATCAAAACATATAAAGACCCCGGAAATTAGGGCTGCGCTTGTATCTTGAATTCAATGTGTCGGTAGATGTCCACAGCGCATGTTCGAAGACAGTAACTTCAACCCTGACAACATATATAGTATGTAGTACCTGCAGCGTCTGTCATGACAGATCCTGTGCCACGAGCCCTGGCCAGCTAGAGCATTTCCCAACGGATGCCAAGAGAGGTCAAGAGGCCAAAAAGTAATTAGGGCCAACTGTAGCCCTATCTATTTTTCGCGGTCCTATATATTTTTGTGGTCTCTTGACCTCCCTTGGTGGGCTTGCGCAACCTTCAACACTGTCCTGGCAAAACCAGAACGGCGCACACAACCGGCGACGTGAATATTTTCTATAGACATAAAACTAAGCTTGAAGGTTTCACCACTTACGGAAAACCCTTTGTCCCGAGAGAGTCTGCTGCGCCCCAAGCTGCTAAATCAACTAGATCTCTTCTGGTGAAACTTGCGCAGTAAAACAAAGCCTTGCTTTTAGTGGCTTTGAACATTCTCTTGCCACAGGTACAATGAGTGGGGCCGCGCAGTTCTGCAGCTACAAATGAAGCACTTGAACACAACTTCTGGAAATGAATTTTTCTTTGCGGCGTACTATCGAGAGGACTCTGCAAAGGAATGCAGCCCACTCAAGTCTGAAGTTGCTGGCACTATGATGTCAGCTGCGGCCTCAGCCATGCGACCGCACGCCAACATTGAATTATTCTGAGTAGGGTTGGTTTTGTGGCTAGACACGCTTCAGGTAGCAATGATAACACGTAAACCTTGATGTTGGTGTTGTGCCAGTGTGCAAGGAATGGTGGGACAAATGCGCCGAAGCCGGTGACAAGACTCGTCCTCAAACACCTTACGGTAAGCCCTTGCCGTCCTTGAATCTTCTTGCCTTTGGTGGTGGAGTGGCTTCGCGGCTAGCCTAAAAGCTTACACATGCCCTCCAGGTTCAACCTAAATTCGGTATTAAATTGTTCGCTGTGGATGTGTTACTGGCCCCGCACGCAACACTTCTGAGGATTCCTGGCGCTGTTACAGAAGCGTTGTCCTCCGAGTCGGATGGAGGCCGGGTTTCTGCCTTGAAGGAGAAAGTGGAGGCGTTCAACACCAAATACAAGAAAGTCGCCTCTCCTACCACCTCCACCCCAGCCGGCGCGGGCTCAGCAGGGACAGCTGGGGCTGGCGCTGCGCCGCCTGGTCCCACAGTGCCAGCGCGGACCTTGTCGCAGCCGCAGTTTTCAGAGGGTGACACGCCATTTGAGACTGGGAAGACGATATCACCTTCAACTGTCCTTGATTTGTCCGAGTTTGAAGCGACCAAGGAGTTGCTTGGAAAAGAGCAACAACTGTCAGCTGCCCTTGGTCTTTCTGTTCGCCAAAACTTTAACTTAAAACCTTGTCTGTCTGTTGAGGGCAACGTCCCCTGTCTGACAGTCGTTGACCACAGGTCATGAAGTGTTTGTGTACCCTCGTGCTTTGTGTGAGGCTGCTGGGAAAAGCGATGGCAATCAGTAACAACAAGATCCATGTTGGAATTTCCATTGGTGATTTTGGTGTGTGGTTGATCAATGGAACGGACGCGGACGTGCCTATGCGGTGCGGAGAGCTGTTTGGCTTCGGAACCGGCACCGCAGCTGAAGTGCCCACAGGCATTTTGAGTCCAAAAACTATGGGGTCCATATTTCACCGGTCTCATTTTCAGTGACTATCGGTTGTGTTTGACTATCGGTTTCAATCACTGACTGTCACCGTGGCAGGCAGTGCGCGGGGGAACGCTGCAAGTGCAATCCCCTATCTCATCAACAGTGACCTACAGCTGGTAGTTCTGGTGCAAAGTGGATCTAAGCAGGCTATGTCGGTGGCGGATCTGGTGTGTCACGTGACCAGGACCACTGGCATTACATCGCTGAATGTCATGGAGCACGATATGACTCAAAAGAACCAGGCCTGACTGATTGTCATAATAGTTTCACTAGGGACAGTAATTTTACGTTGCTACACTGTGTACCCGTTGACCTTGTCGATTGGGTTTGAAGGCGAATGGGTCCCCAGCACTTTTCCGCTATGAGATCAAGCCCAAAAACAAGATCTCCTGCTTCGAGCCAACTGCTCCAGAGGGAGGAGACCCGCAATCGATGAGGGGAACCATACTTGGCGCAGTTGCGAAGGGTCACTTTTTGACATTACCCCGCTCGGAAATGGGGGCCACTCTATGGGAGGACTCTTGGCGCCAAACTATGTCATCAAAAACTTGAAGACCACGCATTCGTGATGCACACAGCATTAAATATGATGTGAAAATATGATGTGAAAATTGCAAACATGGACAATTTACTTTCCACATCTGGATCTTGGTCACAGCGAGGTGCGCGTTGATCCGGGCGTCCCGACCAAAATTGTTGGCATCAAGCCAAAATTCTGGCTTACCTGCAGTTTGAACATTCGTGCCAAAACTGCAGTACAGGTAGCTGTGAGCTGAGCCGGCCCCAGCCCATCACACGACTTGTAAACTGTTTTCAAGAATGTGACATTTTGAAGGCAAGAGATTTTGAGGGCAAGGCCGAGCAGAGCCTAGAAGTCTTCCTCAGCTCCTGACAAAGCGCTTGTGTTCATGTGGCCTGTTCTGTGGTGCTTGTTTTCTTCAATGTGTTTTCCCATCTACAGCTTCAAGCTTTACTATGCTTCAAGTATATTATTTGTTCAACAATTGTTGACAGCTTTTTGGTGTTTAAGAGCAGGCCCTACTACTAGTAGCAGCATCGCAAGCCGAAGAGCAAAGAATCTTTCGCGCCCTGCAGCGCTCAATCGTCAACCAGCGTAACATGCCAACGAAGCAGTCTCGTTACACGGGGCTGTCGTTTGTCAGTGTGCATGGCAAATCAGTGGACCCATTCATGCCGAATGCAGATTTAAGTTCAAATAATACACGCCGATCATCGTCAACCATGGTGATAGCCAGTGTGACAGAGCTGTCCGATGAGGAGACACAACCACACGGTTCTCCTGCAGTGCCAGCAGTGGCACCTGGTGACCCACCGGCTACAGCAAAGAGCAAGCCAAAGGCTGCTGCAAAGGGTTCTCCGAAAGCCAAAGCTAAAACCTTGCCTAAGAAGAAGGCATCGTCACCAAAACAGGAACAAGT